AATTAACAAAACAAACTCCACAACAGCACTGCCTTGTCTAGAGTGCTCAGCATCTGCCACAGAGACAGCCGGCGCTGTCCACAGAACTTCTGCAGCGATGGAAATGTGTCTGTACCTGCACTGTCCTGAGGTGGCCGCTTGCTGCATGTGGCCATGGAGCACTTGGAATGTGGCTAGTGTGACTGAGGAACTGAATTTTCAGCTGGATTTTGGGCTAATGGGGAGGTATAGCTGGGTCCATGCAAGCCCTAAGAGGTTGTAAACATTTTCTAGATGAAACTGAGGCCTAGTGAGGTTGGGGTACAGCCCAGGCCCCTGACTCAGTAGATTGAGCAGGAGTGAGGGCTAGTGGTCCAGACCCCCTCCCCACCAATCCCTGGGCAGGGCTGGATGGAGGCCGTGAGGGCATGTGGCCAGGGGGTGACAGGCCACTCTTCTTTCAGACTCACCGCCAGGTAGGCCAGGGCAGGGGTCCCGTTGAGGCAGATCTCCATTGGTGTCTTTTGATTGTAGAGGGTGTCATAGGACTGGGGCCAGGTTGACGGGATGGAGCTGCCCTCCTGGCCCAGGTACCAGTAGGCCTCGAAGATCTTGGTCAGGTCTTGGGCTAGACAACTGCAGTTGTACATGACCACGCCCAGCTCCTTGACCTGCGGGAGGGAAGTGCTGGGCCTGGGGTAGCGGCCTCATGTCCACAGCAGCCCCATTCTTTCCCATGCCCCTCAAAATCCCCTCTCTCCCTTCTTTTTTTTTTAACAGATATATTTTTTTATTGATTTCAGAGGGGAAGGGAGAGGGAGAGAGAGACAGAAACACCAATGATGAGAGAGAATCATTGATCGGCTGCCTCCTGCACACCCACACTAGGGATTAAGCCTACAACCCAGACACATGCCCTGACCAGGAATTGAACCATGACATCCTGGTTCATAGGTCGATGCTCAACCACCGAGCCACACCGGCTGGGCTCTCTCCCTTCTTTTTGCCCCTCAGTCCCCCCGCCCCGCCCCACCCGCCAGACCTCCATCTAAAGCCCTGGAATGGGCATGAACTTGATTCAAGACTAATATCTTTAGTCAAATTTTTATGAAAATCAGTGTCACTCCAAAGCTCCAGGTTTCGTGAACCGTTGCATATGCTGTCACTTCTACCCTCCAGTGAGGGAGCTCCAGCTTATTCTTGGGTTTCAGCTGATAGATTCCTCCTCCAGGAAGCCACCCCTGACTGCCCAGACTGCTTCAGGCATTCCTCTGAGCTCTCACGGTCCCTTGGGTTTCCCTCACCGCTCTCTCTGGTGGCAAACCCATCTCCCCATTGGACTGGGAGGAAAGACAGCAGGGACGTCTCAGACACAGCTATATGTTCAGC